TATAATCAACTGACTGCTGATTGGTTGATGGGATGACAATGATGACTTATTGGTTGTTACCAACATTCTTAAATTTTGCTTACCTACCTAGGAACAGGAGTGACTTACACTGTGCTGTCGGGTAACATAACCCTGACAGAGTGCACCACCCTGAGGGGCTCACTTCCCTACAATCTGACCCTGGACAGAGCAGCCCAGCAGCTGATGGGCCCAGGGATGCACCACCTGGAGATCCAAGCCATCAGCAACACCACCACCTCTGTGCTCTCCAGCAACATCACCGTCCACTTCATGGAGCCACTGTCAGGGCTACAGGCCTCCTGGGCTTCTGACCACTTGGAACTTGGAGAGGACCTACTGATCAACATCTCAGTGGCTCATGGCATCCCTGAGGAGCTGACCTTTGAGGTGACAGGACTCAATGCAAACTTCTCCCATGAGGAAGAGAGCTTTGGGGAACCATTTGGGATTCACCACGTGGCAGTTCCTGCTGAAGGTACTTGGGGTTGGCGGTTCCCCTTCTAAACCTCCCTGCAGTTTCCTTTATGACTTGGTGCCCAGGGTCTTGCCAGTCATTTTTCTAGTGTGTCTTGGACACAAACATGATTCATAGCATCCAGCCTGGGTCACAACATAAGGAAGAGATAGATATTATCTGTCCTCAGGGAGCTTACAGTTAATCTTACAATCTTATACAGTAGTGACAGGGGTTCTCAGCCTCAGCACTATTGAGATTTTGGATCCAATAATTCTTCATGGTGGAGAGCTAACCTGTGCACTGTAGGATATTCAGCAACATCCCTGGCCTCTACCCACTAGATGCCAGTAGCACCTCCCCCACCAGTTGTGACAACCAAAAATGTCCTCAGACATAGCCAAATGCCCCCTGGGGGGCAAAATCGACTCAGGTTGAGAACCCCTGGAAGAGAACAGGCACATTCAGATTCCTTCCATCATTTTGAGAGGACAGTGTGGTTTGGAAGGCTGCAATCCATGCCCTGGCGGAGAGATAGGTAAAAACTGAAGGGTAGGAGAGCTACCGGTGGAGAGGAGGAAGGCCATGCTGCTAGAATAAAGAACATACAGTGGATAGATTGGCTGGCAACAGCCAGCGGAAAAGGCCAGTGTAGATGTTGTCATTAAATCTGGAGGCAATGTTGTGTCTTGAGGGCCATGTGGAGAGGATGGCAGGCAGGAATGTGATGGAGGTCCCAGAGTCTCCAGCCCACCCACGACCCTGCCCACAGTTCCCCCTGGATCTCTGAGGTATATAAGAAAGTGAGTAATACTGTGCAGGTATGAGGTTACCATGCCCTCAACAAGGGATGTGGGAAAGAGAAGGCAGAAGGGATGACAGATTTGAGAAGGAAAACATTGGAACTTTGCCAGGGACCAAGGGTCCAGCTTGACAAAGGAAGAAGCCATAGGTCACTGAAACTAGAAATTTTAACAAGCATAATACATAGGATATCATCCAAATGAACATTTATTTTTGACCCCCCTCTGCTTCTATAAAATTTACTCAGCGGGGAAGTTTTTCCTTGCAAATAGATCAAATCTTCACATGTCCTATGACTTTTTTTGTTCACTCTTAGATGACAGTTTTTATCTCCTCCCCCAAGACCAACAGATTGGGACTACTCCAGGGGTAAAGGAGGTGGGGAAGGAGGAAAGGGAGGATTAGGAGAGGAGCATTCTCCCTGGGTGGTATTAGCCCAGTCCTGTCTGGCTTTGCTCTCTGGGCCTTGCAGATGTTTGAAGCTGCCTCTTGTAGGAGCTTCTCTGGGCTCTTGAGGCCCCCTGCTGGGCCCCTTGGGCCACAGCTCCTGGAATATGGGTGATGCCTCTTGTTCAGCTGGTCACATCCCCCCAGTGGATTCTCCTAGGTCACCTCCACAATCTCTGCTGGAGTCTTCTCATTCTCCCTACCTGTCCCCAAGGCCCACATCTGGTCCACAGAACACTCTTATCCATTCCTTGGACTGCTTCCTGTGGACTGTAGTTATTTCCCAAATGTAGAAATGCAGCCCTTGTTCCCCTTCTCTTTGTTCTCTTTTTTCCCTCTCTCTTCTCTTTCTCCTACTCTTTCTGTTCTATCTTACATAGATCCCTCCTTCAAGGGCTTTAAGTAAGGAACTTGTCCTTGGGGTCCCTCAACCTCAAAGAACACATGCCATGCTCTCCAAGCATCCCCACTGAAGATCTTCTCTCTAGGCTTGAAAAGAGAAGAAGTTGGCACTCACTACCCCTTCCCCATGAGGGGATAAGTGGTGGTAGGATATGCATGTGTTAGTAGCTCTCTTCAGATAAATCTTCTTACAAATCCTTCTCTTTCTTCTCTACTCTCGACCGTTTTTATATTCTTAAAATACACAAGGGAGTTCAAGATTCATGGAACTGGTTCTTAGATATACGGTTATAAGAAATCTTTAGGGTAATTTATCTTATACTCACACTTGTATCTAATATGCATTTATCTTGATGCCTCAGTCAAAACATCAGATATTAACAACCTGCTACAATACACATAGCAGTAGGCAATGGTGAACAGTCATTCATGCTTTCAACAACTACGTATTGAGTGCTAGCACTATGCTTGGAGTGTGTGTATGTGTGTGTGTGTGTGTGTGTGTGTGTGTTTAGGAAGGGCAGTCAAATAGTCACAGAAGTGGAGCGCTCTGAGGGTAGAAGATGTAAGCCAAGCTCTAGGGTTGGGGGTGTCTGAGGAAGCACGTGTATGCAATCCAAGTGCAGATTGGATTAAACATTCACACCCTGGCATCTTCAGTATCTTCTTCTTGCTAGTCAAGAGGTGACAACAATGTCACTGGCATCGTTGATC